GAGGTCGCAGACTGAAGCAGTGGCTGATGGAGCAGATCCAGAGCGGCCAATACTCCGGACTGCAGTGGGAGGATGAAAGTCGCACTATGTTCCGAATTCCATGGAAACACGCAGGGAAACAGGATTACAACCAAGAAATAGATGCATCCATTTTTAAGGTTTGATTGCTCTCTCGTCTATTCACATGGATAGATAACTGTAGATGGAGTTTTGGTTTTACGCAGCGCTGCGCGTAAAACCAAAACTTGATTAACTTGATGGACCTGTGTAGCGCGCGTTCATTTATGGCCGAAAGGAAATTATTAATTAGACCTTGAAATCCCATTGTGATCATTTTTTTATAGCATATGAAAGTTAACTTGACTTAACTTGAACAAACTTATATTTATTTTTTAAATAGTAATAAAGCTTTACCCTGGTAAAGCACCAGTATTATTTTTTTTACACTAAAATTGTAAATGTTAAATTGCCATAAATAGCCAGTTGTCATTACTACAAATTAGATTTTGTTTCTTTCTTTGTTTCTTTCTTACTCAGAGTTGAGCAATAAGGGATCACTTTTATGATTCTTCTTGAAATTTAACCCAATATAATATCATCTTTAAAATGTGTTCCTTCCCTGCACAGGCCTGGGCTGTGTTTAAAGGCAAGTTTAAGGAGGGGGACAAGGCTGAGCCTGCAACATGGAAGACCAGACTCCGCTGTGCCCTGAATAAAAGCCCTGACTTTGAGGAGGTGACGGAAAGGTCGCAGCTGGACATCTCTGAGCCCTATAAAGTCTACCGCATTGTGCCTGAGGAGGAGCAGAAGCGTAAGTTTGTGATCAGTTGATGGCCTTTAACAGATATCATTAGAACTTCAATTGCAGTGCATGTTGCAGGATATAATTCCTGGATTCCTCTTGCAATAGTTAAAATCAAGAAAAGAAGTCCTATGTTTTCAGAGACATAATGTTTTGTTCTTTTACCTACAGATGGCAAAAGCTCAGTGATGGCCATGGCGGCTACCACCAGCACTGGTGATATCACTGACATGGACTGCAG